CTGTGAAGGTAAGGGTTACGCGTGCTGTCTTCGTTCCCTTTGTTTCAAAGTGGATTAACACCCCGGTACCCTGGGTTCCACTCAAATAGTGTGTCTTGGTCGACACACCCTGGAGACAGCACTCCCCTCACCTCTGAGGAGGGTGCTGGAGTTGCTGTTCCCGACGGGCCAGTACGTCCGGGTGACAATAGAACCCTAAGAGTGCTCATTGGACACCTTCTAAAATCCACGTGAGTGGTAAGTGTGCACGTTATCCTTTGCCGCTTTTCTAAAATCCACGTAAGTGGTGGGTGGGCACGTTAGGCCTTGCCACCCGTCTAAAATTCCACCTAGGTGGTAGGTGTGCACGCTATGCTTTGCCACTTCTCTAAAATCCCACGAAAGTGGTAGGTGCGCACGTTCTTCTTTGCCCACCTCTCTAAAAAGCCTGTATGGTGAGGGTTACTCGTTTCGGACTTCGTTCCCTGTTTCGGAGAGGGTTAGGCCCCGAACCCCTAGAGGACGCAGTGTCTCATTCCCCTCAGGGAACCATGGTTACATAAGTAACACGAGACGTTTTCAGGGTGGTTCTGTCCGTTTTATTACATATTTTATGACAGAGGTGGAAAATACCGTTTCCTCCCGTTTTATTGTCGTAATTGGTATTTTACTTTTATCAGTTATAAGATACAGCCCACCCAGCACCAGACGTCATTTGGACGTCGTTTTTTGGGCTAAATCAAGTCGGCCCATCATGGACTTCTTTTAGCCCAAAAAGCGACGTTGAAAATTGGTCTTTGTTTGGTCTGTCGGATTTGGTCCAAATTTAGCCCTAAAGCGACGTTGAAAAGTGGTCTTTGTTTGGTCCTTCGGATTTGGTCCAAATTTAGCCCTAAAGCGACGTTGAAAATTGGTCTTTGTTTGGTCCATCTAATTTAGTCCAAATTTAGCAGAAGCACGTTTATTTCGGACCACATAGCCCTAATAAATAGATTAGGCATTTGACATGAAGCACTGTTGAATATATTGAAATATATTTTGAAAATATATTTAAAAAAATACATAAAACTTGAAGCTTAAAAATTGTTCCTCATGATACATGTGTACGAATATTCATGCGTTAAAAAGTCAATGTTATTTCTACACCACGTTTACCATTTCTAAAGCTATTATTATATTATATTATATAATTCTGCGTGCTTTAATGGGCGCGCGCTGAACCGGAGCGGAGGAAGTCACCATGGAAACGGGGCGACAGCTCAACGGTCAGCAGCAACTCCCGTCTCTCACAGTTTTTTTTCACTAATTTCAGGTAAGTTTAGTCTCTACAATTACACAAATACTACATACAAGCGTTCATGACACTTTATTTCATGTAAATGACACGCTTCCGTTGAATATTTACTTTATAGAAATGGTTAACGTCGTGTCTTCGGAAAAAGTCCGAATCCAGCATAAATTTGTTAGTAGAGCAGCTGTGCTCATTTTAGAGTATTTTATATCTATCTGTCTGAGCCTGTTGGGTTAGGGTTAGGAATTTTTGATCAAATTCATGTCTCTGTTAAGTGTAAGGTTAAAGCCTGTTTATGTATACCAAACACATTTTCATTAAGAGTCAACATTTTTATTTCACATACAACTTTAATGTAATTTTCTATGATGAGAGCTGGAACTGCTGAAGTCTGATCCCATTACTGTTACAATGCAAATTATCAGACATGGAGTCATATATTGTTTTGACAATACTGCCATCCATTGGCAAAAAGCGTTAACATTTGTTAATAATGTGTGAGATTAATCTACTTGAGCTAGATTATTCATTCAAAAAGAACAAAAATTTGCCTAAAAGGGTGAAGATTACACAAAAGCGCAATGATAATAGAGTAAAACATATTACATATAAAATAATATGGAGTTGCATTTTCTGAAAATTTGGCACTTCTAATTTGCAATTTGGCAAATCTAAATGTATATTTAGTATAGTTATGAAGTTACAGTTATGAAGAATAGCTATGAAGAGGATACTAATAATACAAAGTTCTAATAAGTACTAATACAAGTGCTCAAGGGGGTTAAAAATTCTAGGAAAAACTACAAAAAACAGTTCCTAGAATACCTTTAAATGTGTTACAATGCACCAAGGTCATTACAAATAACCACACAGGTCTCTTTTCCTTTTTTAATAGTTCCAGGCAAGTTCTGTTTTAAACAAGCTGTTGTATATGCCGACAAAAGGCTAAAGCTATTGAAGTAAAAGCTCATTATTCAAGTCATGCATTATCTGGCCACAAAAAAAGACCTTGAATGACAGTTGCAATAAATGTACATTTTCTTTATTCCAAAAAGATAACGATGCAGGTCCATAACAGTAGTATCTTTCAATAAAATATTTACACACACATTTAATAAGTACATTAACATCCCTTCAGAGGTATTATGTATACCATCGGCAGACAGCTGAAGCCACTAGCAGCTAACTGGATATTACTTCTAATTGCATGACAACACAATTCTCATCAGGAGCTGTGAATAACAAAATTATTCATGTTTGGCATTTGCCATCATCATATTTAGCTGGCCGAGTGTTAAGAGGGACGAGAGCTTGCTTTTTAATGAGAGGAACAGAACATCCAGTAACAGCCATGCCTATTCTGAATTACTAGTTAGGACTGATTTGGTTTTGTGTCAAAGAAAATGTATCTACAGGACAGCGAGAAGAAAGGTTTGTACTGAGATTTGAACTATGAACCTTGTTCCCATGTAAAGACAACAAATAGTCTAAATCAGACTGGCTTGTGAAAGAAACATGAGCCTCTACAATGCTGGTCCTTTGAACGTCTTTATTACTTATTTTGAGCCATGTGTAAGAGGAGGTTTGGAGTTGGGCCGGGTTAAATGCAAAACCTAATTAAACCCTGCCAAGAGTAACTGCTACTTTTGTCCACATGCTGTACATAAACACACACTTTGTTTCTCCACTGAAGCTCTATCATTTTTGAAAACAACCAACAGCACGGTAGCCTCATACGCAACAATTAACAACAGATATTTACCGTACAGGTTCTTCTGAAATGTATTCCTTCCTTCCATATAGCCAATCAACATTTTTCCAATATCCAAGTTATGCTATTAAAGTAATAAAATGCTTCCAATTATATTATGCTTTTCATGGGTTGTCACTGTTGTACTAATGGGACACTTTGGAAAATAACAGCAAATACAAACAAGGCAGCAAACATGTAACTACATACACATTATTCATTTTGATTTTGCAGTTTGTCTCAGAACTCGCACAAGACGACTTGTTATCAAGGGCATACAAGATCATTTCTGGACTGAACAACTCAGACAACAAACATACAAGTTATACCACAAACCTTAAAAATATATATAAATTAACTTATGCAAAAACTTTTGGGCAGGCCAATAAATAAGCAACTGGAGAACTGCAAATCAACAACTAAATATATATATATATATATATATATATATATATATATACAGATCAGTTGAAGAATACAAACACCTGGCAGTGTGCTGACATGTGGAACGCTTGTGCAGTTTAGCATATTAAGGCAATATTAGGGAAAAGTGAGGGAAAATACTGCTACATTGCTTGTTAAAATTAAAGAAACATGTCATTGTGCTACACTACACTCCACTAAACGAAAAAGGTTTCTTGTTCATACACACTGACATCTCGATGAAAACGAACTTGACACTAAGAAAAAACTGGATAAAGTTATCTGAAATATGAATAATTAGTTCAAACCCATTAACTGTTTAACAATGAAGTTCCTGAAACAGTCCATGCACCAACTAGCCGATTAAGCGAAGTAATGAACCTGTTGTGTCTGTCATCCATGAAGTATAACTGCTTTTCATAACCATTCCCATATAAGAACTAAGTCGATGTAGAGCAGGTTGTTCCTAGTTCAGTGATACATCATTGATACAAAATACACCAACCAGGAACAATGTTTTAACTGCTCAAACACTGAATGACCTGCACGTAAAACACACACATTCTAGTGTTTTCTAGCCACCCTCACGCACGTCACATGACTAGGAGCTCAAAGTCATTGGCATTATTACATGAAATGATTTACAGTTTTGTTGATACCATAGCTACAGACAATTACGCCAGCAGTCCAAGCTCGGCTACGGTGTGCAATACTTTACACGATAAACGGTGAATGAGGAGGGCTACACTGTGACTGCACTATCCGAAAGAAAAATGGAATTCATTTGACCATATTGTGAGTGTTTCCCATTAAAAAAAGAAAAAACAAAAAGAGATGGAGTTGCTCAGTAAAGGCAAACTCCTGTGTGTAAGCTGAAATCAAAATAAAGGCCTTGGGGTTGGCGTTGTCCTTGTGGTAGGGCTCAACGCCAGGTGAACAGGTTGATGTTGTTGGTCGTGTCACTGTTCAAAGCTTCTGATGGAAACTCCAGCCCAGTGGCCCCTCACTCAACTCCCCAAGCACCAGGTGTGTCGTAACAGTGCTTGGGAGGCTCTCAGATCTTCTTGGGCCGGCGTCCCAGATGGTAGTAGTAGGTCAGCGTGACAGTGAGGAAGAATACGCGACTGAGGAGGAGGAGGATGGCAGCATTTGGTAGGGAGCCCAGCTCCACCAGGGTGACGGAGGTCACTGTAACATAGTGAAGCGAAGATATACATGATCCAAATATCAAGAGTTTGGAGAAAACACATGGTAAATGTATCATAAATATCACAATGACTAATTAGACTTACAGTACTGTTCAAAAGTTTGTAATGTTTTGAGCAATATATTTGTATAAAGACCCCTTAACCTGTTTCATTGCAACATACCAGTGTTTTCGGCATTTTATATTACTCTATGCTCTCTTTTTTTCTATATCAGCTTAATAATTTAATTAAAAATTAATATTACTTCTTCAAAATGTTTCAACCAAACGCATATGTGCAGCAAGCCATAGACAATGTATGTTACAATGTGCTTGTATGTACTTGAATTATGTACTTGTTTAATGTACTTTTTAAATTTGACTTCTGTTGTTCTTCCGATTTTCTTCTGATGTCTTGTTGATAATTTGTCTCTGATCTTATCTGTGATTTTTTTTTTTATTGTTCTGCTTTAAAATTTATTTTATCTGATGCTGTAAAGCACATTGGTCAGCTGCCGCTGTTTTAATGGTGCTATATAAGTAAATTAAACTTGAATGAATCCATTGATAAACCCCAACCACTAGAGAGCAGTAGCATCATGATAGTAAAGGGCCCCATCTAGAGCTGACAAGACACAGCATGCATTAGACTAGTTCTTACTGAGACAAACCTAAAAACTGGATGGCAAAGTAGCAGGCCTCGCAAAGTAACGTCCATTGGATGATAATCTTCTCAGCAGTGTACAAGCCATTCCACAAGATCAGAGAGAGACCTGCCAAAAAGAAGGCAAATAAATGAGAAAGTGTTATATATATACTGTACACTATTATATTATTCAAAAGTTTGGGGTCAGTAAGATCTTGTTAACTTTTATCAGTAAGGGTGTATTAAATTGATCAAAAGTGACAGTAAAGACATTTATAATGTTACAAAAGATTTCGATTTCAAATAAATGCTATTCTTTTGAACTTTCTATTCATCAAAGAATATTTTGATTTCCACATAAATATTAAGCAGCACGACTGTTTTCAGTCAATTTCTTAAGCAATCAGCATATTAGAATGATTTCTGAAGGATCATTTGATCTTGAAGACTAGAGGAATTGCTGCTGAAAATTCAGATTTGCCATCAGGAATATTGCAAAATTGCATTTTAAAATATATTAACATATTAAACTTTCTGATCATATAAATGCAGCCTTGGTAAGAATAACAGACTTATTAAAAAATCCAACTGACCCCAAACTTTTGAACGGTAGTGCAAGTAAACAAGAACAACTTGTGACAGCTGAACATTAAAACAAATCTCAAAAGTCACAACATTTATTGATATGCTTCAGTATACAAACTACCAGGATTATAGTTTGTATACTGAAGATAAATGACCCTTTAGAAGGTTTGAATTTATTTATTTTTCTTTATGAGGTGAGTTGAGATGATATTTTAGTTTAGTACAGTTTAGTTAGTTAAACCAATGAATAAATGTAGTGAATTTTAGAAATGGCAGATTGAGAGAGAGGAAATGTTGAGTGAGATGACACAAATGTTCACTGTTCCAGTGAACTAAACTTAATTAAAGGTAACTTATCACTGGGGGACTGAGACATAAAATGTTCACCCGGAGACACCAGAGAACAGCGGCTGACACATACTGACAGAATTACCAGGAGAATTAAATGAGTATTATTACAAATATGTCTCATCTATTTAATTTTTGAAGGCAAGATTTGAAAAGGGAGCAGATAGAGAAGGGAATAATTGCAAAAATTTTTTTTGCAAATTTGTTGTCTGCAGTGGGCCAGAAAGAGTCAGACTTAATGTGCAATTAAATGAATGAACAGCGGAGAGCGTGCCGCCCCGCAGGGAATATTTCCTCCTCGCTTCTCTTCACAATCCACTGGCTGACTGGCCATTTACTCGCATAACAAATATACAAACACAAATTCTAAGAGCGCCTCGAGTTGAAGGGTAAAAAATGACTCCGAGGAGTCTTTTTATGGCCCATCAATAGATGTGCTGACCACATGACAACCTCTAATTAAGAGTGAGAGATCATTGGGTTATTAAAAATACAGAATGAAATCAATATGACTTACTGAGAATGGCCCCTCCATAGAGACGTATAGAGACACTGGTGGCTGTTTGTTCTTGATCAAATACAACTTCATACAGCTGGTTAGGGAAGGCTAGGGCCTATAAATCACACATTTAAAATAAATTATTGCTGTATAGACTCATTTAGGGTATTAAAGATAGTAAGAGAGTATTGGTCCTGAGAACATCTGGAGCTTAAAGTATTGAACCTTACCATAAGGGCCATGACTGTGAAAACCACAGCGGAGAAGAGGATCCATAACCTTGAGAAAGGGAAAAACATCAGAGAAGACGACTAGCTTAGATGATGTATTTTCTATTCTAAAACGCCAAGGGAAGTTTAGCAACGATATACAGTACAGAAGGGTTCAAAAGCCTGAGAGGAAATATCTGGGATGCATTTGGATCGCATTTAAACCTGGAAATAAACTTAAAGAAACGTTTTAAAGTAAGACGAACAAGAAATATTTTAGATTCTGAACAATTTTAGATCACTAATCAAATAAGCAAATTTGTGACATTTATTTGACTCTTTACAGATGGTCAGATGTTGTTCTTCCATTGAAGCTCAAGATGGATCATCTCAAATCATGCTGGAGAATATGATCATCAGGTTTTACAAAGTGCTGCTCACATTACAGCAAAAGAGAGACAAACCACATGTTCATTTTCACTCCAATTGTTATGCTGATAATATACACTATCATTCTTCATTTTTTGTAAAAAAAAAAAAAAGTATTCAGCAAGGATCCACTAAATTGATCAAAAGTTAGAGGCATTTAACCTATACAAAAAATACATTTCAAATAAATACTGTTCTTTTGAACTTTCTATTAATAAAAAAAAAATCATCAGTTTCCACAAAAATATTAAACAGCACAACTGTTTCCAGTAGTAGTAGGTGTAGTAGTTTTTAACAGTCGTTTTTAAAGCCTTGTCAGCAACTGAGGCTATTTTCATGCCAAGAACTGAGTTACAATAAAAACAGTAAAGTAAAAACTACACAAAACAAAAAAGGCACAGCAGTAACGATTATGGTTACATTTACATATGACAAAAATTCTAAAACTTTACTGGTAAAATCTTACTAAACAAGTCCTTAAGTGAGCTTATTGAATAAAAATGTTGAATACTTATATTAAAAGCAGGACAGTCCAATAAAATATATTTCACAACTTTCCAACAATAAGAAGAAATATTTCTTGAGCACCAAATCAGAATATTAGAATGATTTCTAAAGGAATGTGACACTGAAGACTGGATTAATGGATGCTGAAAATATATTTAAATAGAAAACAGTGATTTTAATTTGTAATAATATTTCACAATATTACTGTTTTACTGAATTTTTGATCAGTAGCCTAGGTGAGCATAAGAGACTTCTTTCAAAAACTCACAAAAATATTCCCTACCCCAAACCTTTGCACGGTAGCGTAATTTTTCATTTAAAAATGTATTTAACAAGAAAAAATGCTTCAACAGTGGTTTTAGACTTTTGGACCGCACTGCATATATTCTAGAAATGTGTTATGATCTTGAATGGTGCAAAATTCAAACTGAGATCTTGAGACTTCACAAGCGACTCGGCTAATGCACATAAATTAGAAGCTAATAATATCGCAGGAGATTCTTCTTACATAAATCATTTGCTTTAGTGTCCAGAGACAGACACGTTATAATACACGTTACTTAAACAGCGGCTGGATTTGTACAATACTCGAGCTCAGGGTTCAGCTGGTTCATCTGTGGCCTGTCAAAATTAATGTGCTTTAATTAAAGGCCTGCTATTTTCTGTACTGGTGACAGGCAGAATGTAATAAATGAGGTTTATAAGTGCAAACTCCCCTAAGCACTGCAGCGTAAAGCGCGGCGGAACAGTACAGGGTTTGTGGTCTTACCTCAGTCCCATAGGCTCTCGAACTGCAAACTTGATCTCATTCCCCAGCATCTGACTGATCTGAGAGAGAAGAGTAGTGGAAGTGAGGAAGAAAGAAAGATGGGAAGAGAGAGCGTAAGACACAAGAGAGACAAACACTACACGCAGAATAATAAAAAAATGGTCATATCCTGCAAGAAGTGACAATTCTGACAGAAACCTCCATTCCGAATTGATTTCAGAGGAACAAGAACAACTATATCATTCTGCAGCATGATGAATTGATAGTGCATGGTGAGTTGTCCACAGTTGTGTGGTCCGAATCATTCATTTAAGTGAAGAAACCTGTTGTGAACACTGACGTTTGGGGGCCACCGGTTGATAGGTGGATTAATAATCACACTATATTATGCATGAAATCCAATTTGATAACAAATTAGCAAATGCAGCCACCCACATTGTGTGTCTGATGATTTCCACAGATTCATACATATTCAGGTTTATGGCTGTCATTCAATGCATCCACCTACTTCTTCATAGCTGTTAAACAAAGATGGCAACACTACAAGGAAATAAACGTGTTGGCAAACTCAATTGTTTAATCACATTTTTAGGAGGTGACACTGTTCTATCATTAGCAGCATATCACGGGTTTCCATATGGCTGCTTAAAACAGTTGAAAGATAGAAAAGAGCATTTATTGCTCGTAAAGGAGCATTTTGGTTTCTAAGGAAATCTATTACTTCAGAACCAAGAAACTAATTCACACCAGTAGCTTGTCTTTTTAACTAGCCATTAAAATAACAAATTCATTAAAATCATTTGTTACAGGAATCACACTAGAACTTCATTGTAATTCATTAACAAATGACTCCAATGAGTTACAACATTACCAGTGTAATATGATTTAAACAACAAATAACTCTTTTAATGAATAGTTAAAGGGGTCATATGATGCTGCTAAAAAGAACATTATTTTGTGTATTGGTGTAATGAAATGTGTGCCTCGAGTGAGCGGAGGCTGACTTGAGTGAGCAGAGGCGGGCGGGCTCGAGAACGGATTTGACGAAGGAGCGTCTGGCGGGCTTGCGGCAACCACTTGTGATGACCCCAGGCTGGACTCCGCTTCGTCCACGGTGAAAGCCGATCCGGCGATCGACAGCGCAAAGTTGATTTATTTCCTCAGCGACCAGCACGGATCAGCTCCAGGCATGACGAAGCGGATATCGTCCTCTTTTGGAAGGCCAAAGAAAGTAGTTTCGCTTTCACAATGAAACACACAGCGCCTTCACGACATGGCGGCAGCAACAATACTACAGCGAGAATAAAAGTTACACCACCTTTCTTTGCGTGAACATTTGGGCGGCGTTATTCAAATCTTCCCACATCGTGACGTCGACATTTGGGAGTGTGTTAGAACGAGGCATTTTAGGTAGGCGTGGTTGACTCTTAACTTTTATAAAGAATATCTCTTTGGATTTGAGACTTTAGTCTTTGCAACTTTACAGATCTTCTTTATGCACCAAGAGCTTGTAAAACTCCAAAGAGAAAGGAAAAATTGAAATCGCATCATATGACCCCTTTAAAAAAGATGGGTCACTGGCTTGAAAGATTGTCTTGTATCATTTACAGCATTATGATGCAGTAACATTAGTGAAATTGCAGCAAAATTTCACAAGCAAAAAAGGTCAAATTTCTACTGTCAACAGCATAAAGATGTATGAAGCACGAAGACATCACTTTCAAACCAAGCAGCTTTCTGTTTGTCAACATGGTGAATTCATGTGACCAACTTAAAAATGAGTGAAACCTGTATGGGCAGAGTTTTTTGTCCTCGTATGAAACTCCTAAATGTGAAGATTCCTATTGGAATGACAGGATTTTGCACACTAAATTTTGCAGAGTAATAGTAAATGTGGTAAATGTTCTCTAAATTAAAAGTGGACATTCTCCAAGAAAAATGGGCATTATAACTGAAATAATCAAAAGGAATGGCAATGAATCAAATGGATTCGAAAGCAGAATCGAATACAGTGCTTGTGAATCAGCACTGAATCTGGAAAAATTAATACACAGTCCAAATGGCTATTTTTATCATCCAGTGAACGTTTTGTGTAATGTACACTATCGTTCAAAAGTTTGGAGTCTGTAAGGTTTATTCATGTTTTTGATAGAAATCTTTTATGCTCATCAAGGCTAAATTTATTTGATCAAAAATACAATAAAACTATCAATATTGTGAAATGGTATTACTTATAATTTATAATTTCAAAAAACTTTTTCTACTGTAGTATTTTTAAAAAGTGATTTATTCCTGTGTTGGCAAAGCAGAATTTCAGCATTATTACTTCAGTCTTCAGTGTCACATGATACTTCAGAAATCATTCTAACACACTATATATTCTCTTTTTATATGACAAATACTCTGTAACCTCAGTTAACAAGCCATATGAGGACCCATGGACCCTTCCCCCCGGAATGCGTAACACCCCAGGAAGTCGAACAGGCTTCTTTGTTGCATGGCAACCAACGCTGATATCACTGGGTTTATTGGCCAAAAGTATGTAAAGCAGGGAAAATCCCTGCTTGTCCTCACTTTGGTTTTGATCTGGAGCAGACCTAATGTACATGCTGTTCAAAATATTTTAGTAGGATTGGGATGGTAGGAAAGATCCTGATCCCAACAGAAAGGGAGGGTTCAGGGTGGATTCTATGAACAAAATCTAATAAAACTTAAAAATAGGTCAAATTTGCATCAAGTTTATATTTTGCATTTGATTTGCTTCAGGGATAAAGTACATACCCTTTAAGCTACCTTTCAGCACAGTAAAGTAAAAAAAAAAAAAAGTCACTCTCCCAGTAAAAAAAAAAAAAAAAAACCCAAACAGCTGTTAATGTCAAAAAAAGAATAACGGTTTTTATTACTGTATATTAATTACAAATACACAAGATGAACCAGTCAAATATATTGTCTAAAAACTGCATCTGTGGTTGAATGCACATTTGTTTTTATTTAATTGTTGTGGATCAGATGAGGGATCTGACTCTTTAAAAGTAAATAGAAGGGGCTGTTTGTCTATTCCTGTTGGTCTTGACATAGCTAGCAGCTATACATGAAATCCAATTCAGAGCACTGGTAATCCGGATTTTGTAATCTGCAAAAGTGTATATCTGGATCAGGGTGATCCAATCCAATGTTGCTTTGGGAAAAAAGTGCATGAAATCCTGGACAGCAAAACAAGGCATTTACAAATCCAGATCACTGTGATCCAGATTAAACTTGTTGAACAACTGGGCCCAAGTTTGGCACAAGTTGGAGTTCATGCTACTCAAGTGCTGCTGTCATTAAAGCTAAACGGACAAAACCAAATACCAAGACACTCTGAAATTCTTGTTAATTCAACTTTTCACTCAAATTGTTATGCTGATAGTATAATTTATAATGAAATGTGAAGTTAAAAACTAAATTAGATAAGAATGAAATATACAAGGATTTTCACGAGTCGCCAAAAACTTTGGACACCAATTTTACGTTTTTCGAGCTTGACCTCAAAATCAAGATCTCTATAAATAAAAAATGAGGTATTTCAGACAGAAATACCAATGAGAAACCAGTGAATTTGACAGAACATGAATAAATGGACGGGGAATAATCCAAACCTGGGAAGGAAAGAAATTCCTTGCATTAACAACAAAACATTAAACAGCAAACAGCCTCTTGACATGGAAAACACTATAGTTGTATCTGCTTTGTGTTGCAGAGAGAATCCACACAGAGCAGATCATTGTATGATTTTTAAAATGTCTTTCTTTCCGTTCTTATTATTTTTCCATTCTAATTATTATTAAATAATTTGAGGACTTTTTTTTTTTTACTAATATTAGTTCAGACAGGACCACTTTGGCAAGTTACTTGAGTTTATTGAAACACAATTTATCTTTGGCGGTATGGTTCCTTATGGGGGTTCTTGCTCCAAAATTAACTGAACATGCAAGAGCTTCAACATTAACCCCCCGGAACCATCAGCTTGGAAATACATAGACAATTAAGACATTTAGTAATGTCTTTAAAAGTGAACAGTGGTAATTGTGTAGATGTGGCAGTGGGACGTCTATACTGTAGCTTGGTTATGAGGATGAGTGTCTCTCAGCAGCGAGGTCCATGCCAGCCGGGACTTAAAAGCCTTAGTGATCTGAAACAAAAGACGACGACATCCAGAAGGTGCACAATAATATGCTCATGCTTATAATGGGGAGGGAGGGAGGGTTGCGAGCAGTTTGAGCATACATACCGAGCAGTAATGCCACATATATATGTCCCGGGTCTAATAGGAGAATGGTAGTGATTGGAGCGATTTGACAGCTGACCGCGTCAGCTGGTCGCAGCACTATGCTTACGTGGCCTGACTGAACTAACCCTGCACTCGATTATTCTGCTGTGGTATCGAGAATTGTGAATTTTCACTGGTCTCTAAAATGTAGATGTCATAGCAACCTTTTTTACAGAAAATATATTTAATATATATTGCTATCTTTATATAAATCACTCATATAAAGTTTTGGCCCACTCATAATTGCGTTAAATAATCGTGATTACAATATTGATCAAAATAATCGTGATTATGATTTTTGCCATAATCAAGCAATTCTAGATCAACCTAAATTAAATCCAATCCAGTTTTAATTTTAGAGCCATCATATTTCATTAGAATTCACAACAGCAAAGATTTCACGCTCGAAAGCATACTTTACCAACTGGCTAACTGCAAATTGCATTTTATCTGGTGGTTGGTTCTCAGACGGCCATCTTATTTGAACCGTGTAAGCAGCCGAGACCTTTCTGAGCTCTAAAAGAGCGCAAATATTTCAATTTGCTGGCTGTTTTGGCCTCTGCAAAAAATTCTCAGCGAGTACCGACATCCTGATTAGAGGCTACTGCAGGTCAGACTCTGATTGCAGAAGATAAAAGCCAGGCATAGCAATGAGAGTGATCTCACGGGAGTTATTACCAAAGCCCAGGTCGACTTGTGTGGAAGATATGTAAACAAAAATTGCACTTTTGAGGATATCAAAACATTACA